AATTTAATTAAGTGAAAAGTTTTGAATATACAGTTACATGAGTACATTTGTTACAGCTAAAGTGTAGAAATAATTGTTTTACAGATTATCCAACTAATGAGCTGATTAAATAGGTTGATTTGTTAAAGAGACAAAAAACTGTTTTATTTCTCAAATTCACTAATTAGTCTGCAAACTACTTTAGATAATTTGCACACTATCTAGGAGATACTGCTTAAAATGAAAAGATCTTTTCTAGAGCAACAACAACGCTTCTGCACGCTAATTATCTAATTATTACAATCAAACAATCAATAAATTAGCAGATAAAATCAATCATTAGTCACTTTAAAAGCTGTTTTACCAAATGGTTTAAAATATTATAAGAATTAAGAAAATAAGCATGATTTCTATTATTTATTTTTTGATATCTAAAGAATCAAGTAAAAAAAAATCTACAAATTAGTTAATAGAATGAGAAGAACGTCAGCACTTTAAAGATTCGGCACCTTAAACGAGCTCTTTTTTTTCGTAAAACGCAGACAATTTTTGTTTCCTACGGAGGCAATAAGTTAATCTTGCAATTAGCTAGATACTATGCACTTTTTCGAATTTCCAGATTTAGTGGTAATACAAACAGGGCATTCGTTAGACATAATTATTAATTTAAATTTTTGGTAAATTTCGGAAAGGCGAATGGAAACCTAATGAAAATTTGAAAAAATATTAAGAATGATGAGAGCAAAGTATTAAAAACAATTAAACTTCTCTTTGTTTCTCAAATGTAATTTTCAGCATGACATTACTTATAATTGATATTTGAAATCAAAAGACTATTTTATAAAGATATTATTCGGGAAGACCGGATAAAATGAAACATATAAAATCATACAAACGTGACACGGAAAGTTACGGTTTAAATATATGTTATACAATTATATGTTGCTGCTGCAATTTGATGTAATTCAACAGCAATAATAAACGGACATTATGAAATTTTCACCATTTAAAGTAAATTTTATTCCTAAAAGTAAATTGCCATTTTCTTTGTTTTTACATGTAGTAATAACTGTTATAAAATTCATTCTTATCTTTGTTCTGCTTTGCAGATACTTTCTGAATCAAAATTAATAAAATAAGCATTAAACATTTGAAAATATTTTTTTTAACTTCAGTGTGGGTATGATAATAAAACATGTTCAAGTTCGTTTCCATAATGCATTTATTTGAAATAATGTGTTACGTTAAAATCCTAGAATAGCCCACCCATTGGCGACTTTCTGAAATCTCGCCAAGACGGCTTTTATTTCTTGAATCAATGTTGCTTTTTATTATTAAAAAAAAATTAAATTATTGCAAATTTATTAAAATATTATTCATAAGAGAGAAAAAATAACTTAGGTAAAAATAACTTAAAAAATATAAGGTTGCAACATATCTCCCCGAAGCATCTTCCAGAAACCTAGATTGGCGAGATTTCAAAAAAGTAGTTTCAAAAAGTCGCCAAGGGTGGGCTATTATAAGATCCCCCCCCCCCTATGTGACTGATAGCTACCCAATAGGGATATCTAGATTTATAGTATTATGTCAACTGACTCTATCTGTTGCTATTACTATTAGTGCAACTATAGTACGAAAATTTTCACCAATATCAGATTGAATATTGCCATTTTTTTCGAAATGAAATCGTACAAAGAACGCCAGTCTCTTCAAACTGTATTGTTATTAAACGGTACATGTACAAAATTCAACTGTTAGCGAAAAATTGCGATTTTAGCACCATGTTTTCGTTTTAACCAAAAATAGTCGACAAGTTTAATTACCAATTATTCTCAAAGGAGAAAGCAAATTTATGACAGATATCTTATAAAATTAATCGATGTTAATGTGATTCTTTTTATTCACTAAGACATTTTCTTGTAGGTTGGTTATCGTGCTCTCTTGACGATCACGTGGCAGCTCTAAGCGTATTGCGGGGCGTCATCATATTGCGTGTAAGTAAAATATGGCAGCAAAGAGTTAATAATTATTAACGTCTGTCACAATACTAACGTCTACTCACTTTTTTTCTTTCTTTCTTTCGAATAATATAAGAAATGTTTATGGTCATACAAAAACTCTACCTGTATGTTACAAGATTATAGGCAATTTTACCAAATGAAATGAATCGTATCAAAATCACTTCTCAAATTTCTGAAGCATTTACGACGGAAATCGTTATTTTCACAAAACAGTACACACACCTGAGTAATAAGAGCTGTTCTCTGGACATTTCCGAAACTTCCACTTGGATTCTGTAGTCTCATGAACTCTTGAATGATTCCTTCGTAAGCATCTGAAAGTTCCCTGTCGTTTGGAATTAAATTGTACCCACCTTGTCGAAATTTGCAGGAAAGAGCCATCACCGCAAATGCTTGAATATCTGCAAAAAGAATTCAATATATAT